GAGGGAGTCAAACTATTCTCCAAAGCACCTGAGGGTAGAACAAGAAGCAATGGGTGGAAACTAAGCCAGAAGAGAAGCAACCTAGAACTGAGGAGAAATTTCTTGACACTTAGAAAATTAATCAGTGAAGTTGCCTCCTGAAGTTGTGAATGGTCCAACACTGGGAGTTTTTAAGAATATGTTGGATATGCATTTGTCTGAAGTGGTGTAGGGTTTTCTGCATAAGCAGGGGGTTGGACTAGAAGACCTCCAAGGTCCCTTCCAGCTCTGCTATTCTATTCTATTCTATTCTATTCTATTCTATTCTATTCTGTTCTGTTCTATTCTATTTTATTCTATTCTATTCTATTATCTCCAGAGGATTATTAGATACATTAGAGTTTTATTGAGCAAATCATAGACACAAAGACATAGATTTTCTCCTCCCCATATTGTTTTATTATCGAAAAGCAACATTTTAATTATCCTACTCTTTACATTAAATCATAGCATAACCTAGTGTATCTAAGTCTTACTGCCTATCTTCAGATTCTAGGGTTTTCTATTGCCATAAAGTTTATCCATTCTATAAAACGTCTTTTGAGAGCTATACTTACCTATCTTTATGTGCTATGTTACATTTTTCTATCTCAACATTTCTTAGCTTTGTATTTTCTTCGCTTAACTATTTCCTAGCTCCATGATGGCGAACCTATGGCATCCGTGCCAGAGGTGGCACACAGCGCCTTCTCTGTGGGAACATGAACGGTTGTCCCAGTTCAGCTCTGCCATGCATGCGCGCGCCCGTCCTGCTGGCCAGTTGGCCAACTGGTCTTCAGGTCTCTGCCGCTCATGCACAGGGAGTGTGGGGCGTGTGGGAGTGCACATGCATGCGGAGTGGGGAGGGGTGCATGCAGGGGTTGCATGCATACGCATGGGAGGGTGGGGTGCATGCAGGGGGCTGCATGTGCATGCGGGTGGGTTGGGTTGCATGTGGTAGTGCACACATGCATGAAGGGGCAGGGGCATGCATGCATGGGGGCATGGCACATGCATGGGGGCTGCACACACATTGTATTTTGGGGGTTCGGGCATGCGCACTTTGGGCACTTAGTCTGGAAAAGGTTAGCCATCACTGTCCTAGGTCCTTGATTTTTTTTAATTTTCCCATGTCTTCAGTTCTTGAAACCAAACACTGTCCATTTATACTAAAATCCCACTTTTTATTTCTTCTTTAACACAGGTGGTATGAGAGTTTTTCCTCCCCTCAGCCCTCACTGGGTCCTGTTTCATGAAATGCTATACCTGGAGTGTTACGCCTGCTGCTTTTAGACTTCCTTCTGCTGCTTCTTTGTTGATACTGGTTAGAGTCTTCCAGGGGTGGGTTCCTGCCAGTTCTAACCTCTTCTATAGAAGAAGTTTCACAAATATACAGTGCCTTTTAGGACCGGTTCCAGCTCCCTCCCCCCTTCCATCCGCCCATCATCAAGATGAAGAGAGAAAGGAGGAATTCTGGGAGTTGAAGTCCACAAGTCTTAAAGCTATCAAGTTTGAACACCCCTCAGCCTTCCGAGGTGGGTGAAATGAGGACCCAGACTGTGGGGGCGATATGCTGACTCTGTAAACTGCTTAGAGAGGGCTGAAAGCCCTATGAAGCGGTATATAAGTCGAACTGCTATTGCTATTGCTAAGTCCATAAGTCTTAAAGCTGTCAAGTTTGAACACCCCTCAGCCTTCCGAGGTGGGTGAAATGAGGACCCAGACTGTGGGGGCGATATGCTGACTCTGTA